GTGGCACTGTGGGTTAATGCGCTGGACTCAATGGCAGTTCAAGCTCACCAAGCTGCTCCTTGAAAACCCTATATAGGGTCGCTATGGGTTGGAACCAATTAGATGGCACTTAACAACAACAATAACATATCTGGATTGAGTTCTGGGTGAAATCATCACGTTGTTGGTTCTCTGTCTAGAGAAATCCCTTAGTATTTTTAAGAAAGTTAGTTTGGTTTTTACAAATTCTTCTAATTTCTGTTTATTTAGACATATCCTGATATCAGCATCATATTTGATGGACAGTTTTGCTGAGTATATTATTGTTGGTTGGCTATGTTTTCCTTTCAGAGTTGTATATATCATCCCATTATATTGTCTGCATACTTTCTGTTGACAAATCAGAGCTTAATCTTACTAGTTCTCCTTGGTAGGTAACTTTTCATTTTCCCTGAGCTTATCTTTGGTTTTGAAAAGTTTGGTTATAATGTATTGGGACTTTTCTTTTGGAGTTTCTTCTGCTTGGAGTTTGTTGAATGGCTATCTTATCGTCTCTTGTGATGTTAGGGAAATTTTCTAACAACTCTTGGACAATTGTCTTTGTTTTTTTGATGTTGTGTCTTCCTGTTCTGAAATTCCAATCATATGTAAGTTACTTCTCTTCATTGTGCCTCACAGAAATCTTAGGCTTTCTGTGATTCTGTAGCAGATGAATACTGAGAGATTTTTCTTCAAGCTCATTAATTCAGTCTTCCATTAATTCCATTCTGCTTCTTTGCTGTTTTAATGTGCTATTTCTGGCTTTCTAATTATTTTTGTATGGTTTCCAATTTTTCATTTATTTTCAGTTTGTAAGTTCTTTATCAAATAGTTCTGATACCATTTCTTATATTCCATTTTCTGATTGTGTATTTTGGTCACTTGTTTCATGCACTCTATCTTTGTGCAGCTAAGCTCTGTGGTGTCGTATTTGTATGTTGGTGCATCCTCACAATCTGTCTCCTAGCGGATGTGATAGAGATTGGAAGTGTGAATGCAGTTCTCTGTTTGCTCTTTGTGTAGCGTAGTTCAAGGAGGGTTTATACACCTCCAGAAGCAGGAATGGCAGAGCCAAGGCTGTGCAGAAGGGGCTGGTGAAGGCCAATGGAGGGTACAGAACAAGGGAGGACCATACCCCCATTGCTGCCCAGTTCCAGCCATGTCCTGTGACTGCAGGTCACCTTGTTGACAGCCGCTGGCAAAAGTTCAAGATGGCTGTACTTCTCCATGCCCGCTGATGGCCTGCCTGTTTTTCCTTTCTACCACACTTCTGCCCAGCTTCCTCTTCCAGTTGGCACTCAGTCCACCTTCCTGTCTTCTCCTCTGAAGCTCAGGGTTCCAGGATCCCCATCTGGCTCTGTTTCAGTTGGTCTTCCATGTCTTTGTTGCAGAGGGTCTGCTCAGTGCACCTGCCTGCCCTGCCATCTTGTCCTGGCCTCTTATAACGTGTTATTTTTGTTAAAACTGGGTCACTCACCTTCTTGTACTATGGAACATCTGGAGATGAGTTTCCTCCTCTTCCCCAGGGTTTGCGTCTCCTCTTCGCTACTATGTTACTATTTCTGATTGTTGATGATTGTAGTTCTCTGCTTCAGCACCACACTCCCCATTTGGAATTAAGTAAGTGTATGTACATACAGTGTACATCTTTGTCTTAGTTTTCTGGTGATGATATAAACACCACAGCTGGATGCCTTTAACAAACAGGTAGTTCTTCTCTCATGGTTTAGGAGGCTAGAAGTTCCGAATCCGAGGTCCATTGTGAGGGGGAAGGCTGTCTCTTGTGAGCTACAAAGAAAGGTCCTTGTCTCCTCTGAGCATCTGTAGGCCCAACATTGCTTGACTATCTCCATGTGTCTTGGCATCGAGTTTCCTCTGGATCTAGGAGCGTCACAGTGCAGGGGCTGTAGGCCCACATCTGCACTCCAATCCCTGCAGCTCCTCTCTCCTGGTGGTATGAGCTCCTTCTGAGTTTGCTTGCTTGTTTTCTCTCATATTTCAAAAGACATTGACTCAAGATACCACTTAACCCTGTAGATTGTATCTGGCCTCATTAACGTTGTAGTTAAGTGCTGTGGCATCAGTTCTGACTCATAGTAACCCTGTGTAGGGTTCCATAGTAGTGACTGGTGGTTTGAACCACTGGCCTTAATGGTTAGCAGTCCAGAGCTCATCCTATAGCGCCACATCAGGACTCTGCATTAACATGAGCATAGTGCGGATTTACAACACACAGGATAAGTGCATCAGATTAGGGCAGATCACATGGGCTGATTCCATTATGTTAGATCTCATCATAAGGCTTTCTACCTCTTAACTGCCAAACCTGAGAAAGTGGGACTAGCCAGGTTACCACAAACCCTAACTGTCACGGTCTTAGAAATACAAAGATCACCATCTTAGGTCATCCTGCTATTGGGTGTTTGTTGTTGTTGTAAAGTGCCATTGAGTCTGTTTCGATTCATAGTGACCTTACATATAGTTTCCTAAGGAGCTCTGGTAGCATAGTGGCTACAAGTTGGGCTGCTAACCACAAGGTCAGTTGTTTGAAACTACTAGCTGTTCATGGAAGAAAGATGAAGCTGTCTGCTTCTGTAAAGACTTATAGCCTCAGAGACCCTATATAGGGTTGCTATGAGTTGGAACCCACTCCCTGGCACACCACCACCACCAGGAGTGGCTGTTGAGTTTGAACCGCGACCTTGTGGTTCAAATTGACCTTATCCTACAGTGTCACACCAGAGCTCTGTCAGGTATTCATTTTAAAGTGCAAGCTGAAAACTTGTGAAAACAAAATCCTTTCACATCTCGTGGTCTACTTTTTACTTTTTTTCGAGGATCAAGAAAATTATATTGTGTGCCTTCCTTGATTATATGTTTGAAAATACTTCTTTTCACTTTTGGTTTTCAGTAGTAGCTCAACATATTGTGAGTTATTTGAATAAGGACTGAGTTCCTAATACATTTTTTATTTTTAAACTTTGTTTTTCTATGTCATAATAATCTTTACTACAAATGGTAGGTAAATTCATGGTGGACAGAACAATTGGAAACAAACAACTTAGAGCTAACATTGTTTCCTAAAAAGTTGCACCTTAATTATAGTGTGCGTATCTGTGACTGAGCTTCCATTTTATTTTTATTTTTAAACTTCATTGTGAGTCAAGTGAAGGTTTACAGACAAGATCATCAGACAAGATTCAATAAATCCTACACTTTGTTTCATCACAATGATTGCAATTCCTTCCATGGAACAATAGTTAAACCCTGCTTCCTCCCTGTGGCTCCTGTTTCCATTCCACCCTCCTTCCCACCCCTTCTCAACTTGGTCCTTAGGTAAATGCTGCCCTATTCATTTTGAACGATTGACCATTCCATGGTGAATATACCTTACTACTGTCGTTATCCCCCCTATATAGCCATCTAGGACTTGACTGAAAATCGACCCACAAGAGTGAGTTCCTTTCTAGATGTGAAGGATGATCAAGGGCCACAGTCTTGGGTTCCTCCAGTCTTTTTCTGATCATTAAGCTCAGTCTCTCTCTCTCTCTTTTTTTAAAATAATTTTGTGTTTTGTTCTACATTTCTTCCCACTCTTTCTGGGACCTTCTAATGTGATCCTTTACAAGGCAGCTGGTTGTGGTAGCCATTCACCATTTAATTTTTACCATCTCAGAGTCCTGGAGACTGGTATTCACATGTTCCATTAGTCCAGTGGACTCATTGACTCCATGCATCTTCAGTTCTCATCACTCTTGTTTCTTCCACACATGGAGAGACTAATAGCTGCTCCTTAGACTGCCGATAAGGAACTTTTAAGACCCCAGATGTTATAGTAGACTGTAGAACATTGTCTTTGTGGACTATGTTTACCAGTTGACTATGGTGTCCCTTGACACTTTGGTCCTGTGTCATGTTTGATAATATCTAAGAAGTTTTCATCATTTTGTCCCCTGTCTGCTCAACCACATTCATAGTTGTGTTTACAGGAAAGGGAAATCCTCAGGTATAAATACCGTCTTTCAAAAACTCATTTATATATGTGTGGATATTCTCCCACTCTTCCTCCTGTACCCATTCAGCCTGTGTTTCTGTCCATGAATCTACTCACAGAACACTGTTGTTCTAAGGTTGTGTATGTATCAATATTTACCTCTCTCTCTCCTTTATCCTTTGTATATCTGCCTCTGTCTTCATCATTCTCCTGCCAGTCTCCCTTTTCTTGCATATTACCCTTGCTCTTCTTGTATATTACCCTTCCAGTCACCCAAGTTGACATGTGTCTAACTCTATCCAGTGAATTATTCTTCTTCCTTCCCACCCCTGGTAAACTTGAAAGAAGGTTTCTTTTAGTATGAAGCCTTTTCTTGTGTTTTCACAACAGTGAATATTTGTCCTTTGTGACTCTTAATTTCACTCAGTACAGTGTCCTCCAGGTTCATTGATGTTGTGAGGTGCTTCATAGATTGATTGTTAAATCTTCAACGTTGCATAGTATTCTAGTATGTGTGTGTATACTACAGTTTGTTTATCCACTCATCCATTGATTAGCGTTTAGGCTGACTCCGTCTTTTTGCTGTTGTGAATTAAAAACGTTCTGAAAACCTAGAACAATGATTCTCCACTAGAGACATTAGCCAGTGTCTAGGGGCATAGGCGCATGTTGTTTGGCACAGCTGGGGGTGGGGGCTGCTCCTGGTATCTAATGGGTGGAGAGGGCAGATAGACTGTGGTACAGAGGACAGCCCTTTCCAACACAGACTGATTTGGTGCTGGAAGTCCATGATCTTGCCGATGAGAAACGCTTCCTTAGAATAAGGTTTTCCTGCTTCATCTCAAGTCTAAACACTCTCGGGAATTAACGTGGTGCGACTCCACAGGGAGCCCACTGCCATGTTTCGGGTCTGCTTTGGGAGGACATAGACACTGGCTTCATGTTGAGTTCCTTTGTCAGTGAATTTGTATTGCCTCTTTCTTTATAGGTGTATGAAGACCCTCGTCACCTTTACACATGTCATCCCTGAGTGGCACCCACTTAACGCTGCCCATCTTGGCCCGTGTAACAATTGCAGCAACCAGTCACAAATACGAAAAATGGCATTGGAAAAGTGAGTTTAAAATTGCTCTGTAAGTTTTTGAACAAACTTAAGGTGGATTTAAAATTTTTCAGTGCATGGAATTGAACGTGATAACTGCAGCCTGCCCTTGAGGAGTCTGGGCTGACACGGTTTTGAATTGTTCAATGCTGTCTGTCTCACTGCAGCCAGGCAGCGAGTCGTCTCAGCCGAAATACCCCTCAAGAGCCGACTTAGACTCCCAGTGTTTTTTCATCTTTTGCCTTTTCTCTCCCTTTGGGGGAGATTAAGCTTCCATTTTTCTCTCCTGCCAAGTGGCTGGAGTCACTAGAATTCCGGGATTACCTGAATCTAATTTCAAGAACTTTGATGATTCAAACATGAGCTCCCGGCTCATCTCTCTGCATTTTCATCTCCCAGGCTGCCCAGCCTGCTAATTCTTCATCTTGTAAGCATTCTGCTGCCTTTGAGCAGATGGGTTCTTATATTTGATTGTACTTTTCTGTTGGTTCTCATTGGAAGGGCTGGTAGGATGACTTTTTTCCATATCAGTGGAAGCCCCATTCCATTTTAGGCAGTTTGTCTTTCTGTGTTACACACAAACACTTATGTACGTACTCTTTCCCTTCATCTTCAGTCTTCCTTATCTCTAACTGTACATGAAAGAAATGTTTTGACATATAATTTGATAAAGAACTTGGGATGTTAACCTCTGATGCATTTGGATGAGCCAAGAAACCCTTCAGAAATTATTTCAAGTAATACATTCTCAATGAATGTCATTGTGCCCAAAGGCTTAAATGTATCACAGAGCAGTCCCTTCTCCCAACCTCTCCTCAGGCATCTGTTTTAAATTTAAACCCTTGAAGTTTGTATTTAACTAGCGTTTTCAAAATGGTGTGCTTGTAATATTATTCTCTGAAGTCTTATTGTTGGGGAATTGGGTCCGACTCATAGTGACCCTGTAAGGATCTCTGAGGAGGAGCTGGTTTGAACCACCAACCCTGTGGTTCACAGTCTAGTACTTACTCTACAGTGCCACCCCCGGGTCCCTATGCAGTCTAGTCTTCTTTTATTAGGCACTGTCGGGCTGCGAACCGCAAGGTCAACAGTTCAAAACTACCAGCTGTTCTGCAGGAGAAAGATGAGGCTTTCTGCTCCCGTAAAGATTTACAGCCTCGGAAACCCTGTACAAGGGTCACTATGAGTCGGAATCGATTCCACGGCACACAACAACAACAACATACCCATGTCTAAGGAGCTCTGGTAGTGTAGTGGTGAAGAATTGGGCTTTGAACTGCAAGGTCAGCAGTTCAAAACTACCAGTTGTTCTGCAGGAGAAAGATGAGGCTTTCTGCTCCCGTAAAGATTTACAGCCTCAGAAACCCTGTTCAGGGTCGCTATGAGTTGGAACTGACTCCATGGCACATAACCACCACCACCATACCCATGATTGGGCTCATCTTGTTTGTCTCTCCCGATATCACTATTCTCCCGGTATGATAGGTGTATTGTGTGTTCTCCTGGTGTGATAGGTTGTGTGGCCTCACAGTATGATAATGTATTGTGTGTTCCTCCGGTGTGATAGGTTGTGTTGTGTGTTATCCTGCTGTGATAAGTTGTGCTGAGTGTGTGTATCCCATTCCTCCAGCCCCCCAGAGTGAAATGTTGTGTTGGGTGGTCCCCTGGTGTGTGATAGGTTGTGCTGTGTGTTTTCCCGGTGTGATAGGTTGTGCTGTGTGTCTCCCCCCCCCCCCCAGTGTGATAGGTTGTATTGTGTGTTCTTCTAATGTGATAGGTTGTGTAATGTGGTCCCCTGGTGTGGTAGGTTGAGTTGTATGTTTCCCCAGTGTGGTAGGTTGTGTTGTGTGTTTATTTCTTCTATCAGTTGTGTTTGTTATGAGTGTACATAGGCAGTTCCCTCTTAAGCCAGGTGCTGTACATGCTTGTGTTTCGTTTCTGTTGGTGGTGATGTTAAATGCCACCTACTAGAATCTGACTCAGCGACCCTGTGTTGTGTTTTCAAGGAATGGGAGCCACTGGCGACCTGCGATTCAAACTGAGTTTGCAGTCCAGCCCATTAACTCACAGCATCACATTTAGAACTCTTTTCTTTGACTTATTACATTTTAAAGAAAATGTATTTATTGGTATTTCCCCCCCCAAATTCTTCAAACCTCTGTAATAAATTTTCCAAATATTAATGCTTCCATCTTTGAGTCGTCCCCCCTCCTCACCCCCAGCTACTGAAACCCTAAGCTTTTCTGGGTCAGCCTTCCATTCTGCGTTGATTCCTCTTTGGGCCTACCACATGGGGGTGTTGTTTGCACCCTGTCAGCGACCACTGTCGGGGACCCGCCTCAACATAGGTTTTTGGTTCACGAGGTGGAGATATCTGGTGGCGGGTAAAGATATAGAACGAATACACAGAAAGACACAAAGAGGGAGACAAAGAAACACTCCGAAACCAGGGTGGATGTGGGACTGGCATCAGGCCAATCCTGCATTGCAAACATCTCAGCCAGGAAGGCCGTAATTTCCTGCATAGTAACATTTTGGCTAAGCAGGCAATATGGTTGCAATGCTAGACTGAGCCCCCTGCATGCTGTAACGCACGCCTTGCCAGTCATAATGCACACCTGGGTCGGTCTGTGCCTCTGTTTTATTTAGGGGAGGAGCTTCACACAAAGCTGGGAGGGACTAAGACAAGGTACAGCTAACATACGTAATTTTCCAGACATTCCGGCAACTTTACATCGTAATTAGCAGTTTCGAGTCTCATGACCGCAACTTGATTTCTCAAGCTTAATAGCAACTTGGTTTCTCAAGCTTAATTAACATACCTTTTAGCACCTATCCTTAAGTGGGGGAAAGAGAAGGAGGATTGGAAGGATTCCCATTGTGTTGGCTGCCTGGGCCAGGTTTGCAGGAAGAAGCCAGGCACCTAGGTGAATGGCCTGCACCTGGAAATACTTTAGGCAGGGGAGTCCTATTGTCCTTAGAACAGAGACCGGGGAGCCACCCAATTTACTTTGATTGAATTCTCTGAGGGAAGAACTTTGCCTGTTCCTGGAATTTTACAGTCTTGGCTTTTAGGAAAATATCACATTTATCTGTGGATATCAAGGCTTCATGTCTGCATTTATTAATAACAAACCTAACTGGATACTAAGATGAAAAACAATTTGCTATGACTGCCAGGTGACTAGAGTCTGTTCCTCAGAGCCTGCGGCCTGTATGGGCTGCAACACTTGGGCCCACAGGGCCTCGAACTCCTGACCGGGTCTGGACGGTCTGCAACAGACCCCCCACATTCCGCATTCCTGTGTCCTGTAATTACTGAGAGACTTCTCAGGGTTCTGTGGGTCAGCTATGCTCTGGTTGTCCGTGTACCACTCTTAGTGTCTCTGTGGTGGCGTGCTCCCTCCTGCTGGGCAAGTCCCCACTCTTCTGTTGGCTTTTAGTCTTCAACTGTTCATTCTTGTGTCTTTTTAAATCTCCTTCCCCTTTCTTTATCAATGTTTAGAGGGGAGATCTTTTTATTATATTTTAAGCTCGCTTCCTTAATGAGGAGGGGAGGGGAGGGGAGGGGTTGGGGCAGCTGCATGTAAGTTTTGCCATCCATGTAATTCCATGAAAGTGTTTATCCCTGCTTTTTCTCAAGCCCCAGTATTGAAGATGTAAACTTACACTGTTATTTTGTTGGATCTGTTTAATGGGTTGCGTTGAAACATTTTTTAATTATGTAGCTAGGATTACAGATTGATGCTGTAATCTGGAAGGCTGTCCTTTAGTGGGCTGATTTATAAGCAGACTTACTTATTTGGACACTCCTTGTAATCTTTCGAAAGCAATTAAATTAGTATGTAAAATTTTACTGAAATGTTGTAAATGTATAAGACAAGGTCGGTATAGTATTTTGTTTTAAAATTGTGTAACTTGATTTGTTGGTGTCTAATGACGTGTTGGTGTGGCACTGCAGAATAATGAACTGGAATGTAAGTTCAATTTGAACCACCAGGTCGGTGATTCAAACCCACCAGCTGATCTCAGAAACCCTATATAGGGTTTTTGAGTCAGAACCAACCTGATGGCACTTAACAACAGCAATGGAGTTTAGAAGACTCCTGGTGTGGCGCTGTAGGATGAGTGCTGGACTGCTAACCTCAAGATTGGCAGTTCAAACCCACCAGCTGATCCTCAGAAACCCTATACAGGATCACTATGAGTTGGAATCAACTCACTGGTACTTGGCAACAGCAATAACAGAGTTTAGAAACAAATTTAGTATAGTTTTTAGGGGTAACTTAAAAATAATTAGGCCTAGGTCAGAGAGGGAGAGGAAGACCCCCAGAGAGATGAATTAGCAAGGTGGCAGCATCAATGTGCTCAAGCATGGCAATAACTGTTAAGGTTGGCCCAGGATCAGACAGTGTTTCGTTCTGTTGTGCATAGTGTCACTATGTGTCGGTATCGACTTGATGGCACCTAACAACAACAACAACAACATCATTATATGGTGTTCAGTCTTTTAGCGTCCTAAAGATAGACATCGCTGATAAGTTCCCTGATCACCTAATCAGATAAACCACATCTGGAATGTGTTTCCACTTGAAGGCTTGCTTAGAAAAAGGTGTCATTGATAATTAGGTCACTCTATCGAGTGTGGGCCAATGTGCTAGGTTTTTTCCAGTGAGTGATTTAGGGTTGTATTCCTATTGTTGACGTGAAGCACCAGATTTCAGAAGTGAACTTTTCATTGCTGCCACAGGATCTGGCCGAGTCGTTGCCTAGACTGGCGCTGTTTAGGCTTATTTATTTCAACTTGTGTTCCCAGTGACATTAAACAACTTCTTGTCAAGGAAAGGGTGGGCAGTGTAAGAGGAAGGCTGGCATTTTTGGTCTGTTTTGTTGAAGGCTTGACAAAGACTAAAATTCTGCTTTTTAAGTATTAGTTGTTTGTCAGAAAATTCTTCATCATTTATAAAATCCCTCAATGACCTGCAAAGAATATAGCATGTAAATCTTTGTTGAACAATTGAATTTCTCTAAAGGTCAGTTTTCTTGTTACAACTAATGTGGATCGATTCTATTTGAATTTCAGGTGATCTCATTCATACTTCTTAATTGACTGAGGGCCTGAAATCGTTCAAACAATGATGTGTAATAGAGCTAACATATAATGAAGTTGAAAAACTAATTTGAAGGGGTTTTTTTCTCCCTAAAACCTACATTAGTACAGTTGACAAGTACATATATTGAATGCACATTATTAGAATTTTCTGAAACATGAATCATTGCATCGTTTGAGAGGGTGATTGAAGGCTTTTTGGGCATTTGCCGATGTTCTGCTTCTGTCTTTGGGTTGTATGACTTCTTGAACCATTCGTTTCCTTTTGGTTTTTCCCCCTAAGTGGTAGTGGTCTTGCTGAGCCCTATTGAGTCGGTTCCAACTCATAGCAACCCTGTGTAGGGTTTCTGGGGCTGTAAATCTTTGTGGGAGCAGAAAGCCTCATTGTTCCAATCCGGAGCAGCTGGGGGGCTCGAACCGCTTACCAGTGCTTATCCTACAGCACTACCACCCTTTCCTTTAGCTAGAACCTTATAATGTGATGGGTTGAACTCCAAGTTAGGGAGGCGAATAATGCAAAGGGATTTTGGCAGGAAATCTGTAGTTGACTCTTGTCTTGGGTCTGTGCTGTTAACTCCCTCCCATTCAATTTTCCCATGGCTCAGGTGAAACCTAACAGTTTCCTCACTCTGAGCTCATTTTTTACTGTGTCTGCTGGTATTGCAGGGAGGAAGAAGCCTAGGAACAAACAAAATTCAGCTCCAACCTGGGGAGGAAGTTGTACCCTTACCTCAGAGACTGGAAGTGAGACTCCCAGAATAGTGGTAGGACAAGAGTAGAGCTTTGTGGGACACCCGCTCACTCCAAAAGGAAACTGAGCTTAGAAGAGAAGAAGGGATGCGAATATAACACTTAGCTTTACTTGGCTGACCCCAAAATGCCATTGTTTGATACTTGGTTTTATTGTATGCCTTTAGGATGGAAATGTTACCTACTAATCTGTGGGCCATGTGTTGTAAAGGGTTTCCCAGTCTCAGAGATGTTCAATACAGGAGAGGGAAGCACATTTGGAATTTATGAAATTTCACAGAGATCGAAAGTTGTGTGGAGAGGGTATGGTGAGGGTTTTGTCAGTGTCTGGGTGAAGCGATAGCAAAACACAATCAAGAACTGACCACTCCGTAGCTGGCACTGTCTAGTCGTCTGGTCTCGGGGCAAATGAGGCCATAGTTCAAGTGGACGAGTTGCTTCTTGGGCTGGTGTAAGAGACTGCTTTTGAATTGATGTAATTGCACAAATTGTTCTCTATTTTGGCTGGATAAGAAAATCAAATTCCCACCTTATTGGGATTTTCTGACAAATGACTTGTTGATGTCTAGGGATGTTCTCTTGTGTTTAATGAGAGTTGGAGCATCTGTGCCCACAGAAGAATGCTGGGAGGAGCAGGTTTTACGTCATTTACAGAAGGATGTTGTAGAAGGCTTGGGGTGCCTAGGAAGCATAAAAATGTGCCAGGTGGTGTCTGTGCAGTATTGTGTTTCTTGGCGTTAATAAGCATGTCTGCAAACAAACCATTTCCCGGATTGGCCAGTGTAGGGATCTACAGGGGAAATTTTAGTAACTAGCTTCGGTGGCTATCTTGAAAGGTGTTACATGAAGCCATAGGAACGAAATATTCGTAATCTAAAGAGGCAGCTGCCAAGTTGGTGCCATGGTATGGTTCACTTGGCAGCATTCTTCCACAGACAGAAGCCTGCTGATTTTGTAGGATAAGCACTGAACTGCTAACCATAGGCCGGCAGTTCAAACCTACCGGTTGCTCCACAGGAGAGAGATGAGGCTCTGCTCCCATAAAGATTTGCAGCCTCAGAATCCCTCTACACAGGCTCGCTATGAGTCAGAATAGACTCAGTGGCAGTGAGGGTTTGTGGTTTTTGTTTGTTGGTCTTATTCTTCCCTAGTGGTATGTTGTACAATCATTGATGTCTGAGATTTGGTAAAATAAGGTGTGATTTTTAAAAGCAATGGGAGAGAGTTTAGCATTACAAGTAGAGTTTTGCAGGACTTTTAATAAGTTTTGAAGACTTGACTATTCTTCAACAGAATGATTGGCAGGAGCTAATTTACAGTTTATCCCTAGTCAGTCTGAAGATAGGCGTTTTGGACATGGATTCAAAGTTCATTTCAGCTGAATACATTTTGATAAAGCTAAGTAAGTTTTGACAGCTGTTCAAATATTGAGAAAGGAGATGTTTGACATTTTCCTTAAATCCTGAGAGCTTTGTTAAACTTAGCCATTTTTAAGCCCATCTTTGTTTTTTATTTTCTTGTGTGACATGTTACTATAAATGTAAAATACGTTTTTCTGGAATTATGGATGTTTGGGATAAGCCTTGGTAGCACTGCAAATGAGGCATTAGGCAGGCAGTTAACCACAGGGTTCAAACCCAGCAATGGGAGAAAGTTGAGGCAGTCTGCTCCCCTAAAGTTAGGGAGCCCCAAGGAACAGTTCTCCACCCAATAGGGTCGCTGTGAGTTAAGATCTACTCCATGGCAGTGGTGGACTGTGGATATTTGGAAGCTTATCGTTAAATCTACCAGTACGTTGTGTTTTGTGCTCTGCCTAGTGACAGATTAAGACTTAGATACCAAACAAAAATGTTAATTTCTGTAATAACTAAAATAGGCCAAATGATTGGTATGCTGGTAGTGTTTTGTTGTTTGTTCTTACAGTGTATTTAGCTGTCTTAGGTTTGCTACTTTGTTTTGCGTATTGACAACCCCACCCCACAAGAAAAGCAACTGATTTGGACACTTGGCAGCCAAGAGCATTCTCTAAGGTGTGGGTTTGGGCCTTTGATTCTGCCCACCAGCTACTAAGAGATCTATTTTTGCTCCTGAATAGTGCCGCTGCTGGCAGAGTTCCTGCCAGTTAACGTGCCGTGTGTAAACCATACTGTAGGTGATGGCTTCTGACCACCAGCAAGGCTGTTCTGAGGCCTGGTTGGTGCGAGTTCTCTGTTTCTGGTGAAGACTCACATCTGGAGGTTCCCAAGAAAAATGAGTGCACTTAGTCCTGATAGATTAGTGTTTGCGTGATGTCGTAGCCTCAGTACCGCGGCACTGAACTCGTCTGCCTTCCCTTCTTTTTCTTCTCCCCAGAGTGTCCCCCATCTTCATGGTGCACTTCGTGGAAGGCCTACCTCATCAGGACTTACAGCGGCTTTCGTTTCATTTTGAAGACTCTCTTTACCAAGTCACTTCAGTAATTCAGTACCAAGCGAACAATCATTTCATAACCTGGGTCTTAGATGCTAATGGTAAGTGTTCACATGGCTTCTTTTATGGTAATAAACATGGAAATGAAATGCTAGTTTAAAAATAATAAAACTTTTACCTTTTTTTTTCCCTATTTTTTTTTAATAAAATTTTGTTCTGTTTTTTTGTGAACGTTTACACGGCAAGTTGGGTTCCCTTGACAGTTTCTGCAGAAAGTGATGAGTGCATTTCTCATAGTGTGACCGCATCCTCATTCTGGAGTTCTGGTCTTCCCATTTCCAGACTCTGGGTTGCCTGCCCCTTCATCTCCTCATCTTTGCTTTGAAATAAATGCTTGCCCATTTGGCCTCCTAACCTGTCACCACAGGGGGTTAAACAGTGGGCCACTAAACAAAAGGTCGACACTTTGAACCCACCAGCCGCTCTGTGGGAGCAAGATGAGGTTGGCTGCTCCTGTAAAGATTTACGGTCTTTGAAACCCCTGAGGAGCAGTTCTGCTGGGAGCGGTGGGGTCACTGGGAGTAGGTATGGGCTCTTCTTGGTGTGTTTTAGGAGAGCACTGATCTAGTGGGTCCTTTGTTTTCTGTGCCACTCAGCTTTTCTGTTAGAAGCAGCTCTCAGTCTCTCGGGCTCTAAGTTTGAAGAGGGTCTCAGTGGCCCTGCCTGTCAGTCTAGTCGGATTGATGACTTTGAGATTTAGTCTGCATTTCTCTCTGGTTCTAAGGAGAATATCTATAGTGCTCCATCCAGTCAGGCCCCTTAGTGGTGGCAGCCGGGTACCAGCTAGTTCTTCTGGTCTCAGGGTAGTTAAAGTTGTGGCTTTTTTGTACACTGCTGAACTTACTACAGACTTGTTTCTTTGTGATTTTGGTTGTCTTCATACTTTTTTGCTTCTGACAAGTTTCTGTCTTACATGGTCGCTTTAAAGTTTTTAAGATCCCAGATGCACCTCAACTCAGTAGGATGCAGAACATGAATTTTGTGAGCTTTGTCACTCTGGTTCCCTGTGCTCTCCCATGGGACTCAACTGCACACGGCAACAAAATGATGCCGCTTGACAGAAATCTGGAGTCTGTGACATATTTGCTGTGCCCCATTTCCATGAAATTGAATGCTTTTTCCATCCATTTCCATTTTGTAGATGCATGGATATTGTTTTATACAGTGGGCATGTGGCTTGTTTGGAAATATCAGCAATAGGAGCTCATGTAATTGGTTATTATTTAAAAGCTGTTACCTGTCCACATTTATAGTTAACATTTCCCAAATTACCATGTGGTATTAAGCGAACTATAAATATGAAAACACGCCTTCCTTCCCTTCACCCCACACCACCCACCAGCATCTGGCCACTTCCCTTTTTGTTGAAACTGATGGTCTCCTCATCCCTAACCTCACTCCATCATGAGTCCTGGTCCCGCAGCCCCCTGGGGAGCCATGCTGGCTGAGACAGCCACCGATGACCACCTGCTCAGAGTAAGGGGCTCTTCACACATCTGATCTGAGCCCCTCAGCATTGTCAGTAGACTGGTCCTAGCCCTTAAACTCGTCCCTTGTCATTCATCACACCATTTCCACGGAAACTCAGAAATGAAATAAGAATTGAAACAGATGTTGGTACCTGAGGTCAGATGCTGTATTTAACTGAGCATTCATATATACGAAACAGCTTCGATTTTTGACATGGTTGTAGTCTGAGCCACAAATTTAAATATTATACTTCCATCTTGAATTGTAGGGGAAAAGTGCAAATTTACTTCAGTTTTTGTTTTGTTTTTCCTTCAAACATGTGGGTATGTAAGTCCATAGCCTTTGTTATCCAGAAAAAAAAAAGATTTTAACATTTGGCCGATAGAAGTGGCGGCCCGAGGGGGGGAAGGACATGCTTCGGCATGTCCTCCTCTGGTCTGGTCAGCAGTCCAGGCACCTAAAGGGAAGGGGCCTAAGGAGGTGGCCAGTGAAGGTCTAATCTCTTCCCCCTCTCTCCCACTCTCCCAGGAAGTTGGCTTGAATGTGATGACCTAAAAGGCTCCTGTTCCGAGAGACGTGAGAGATTTGAAGTTCCTGCTTCGGAGATTCATATTGTTATTTGGGAAAGAAAACCGTCCGAAATGACAGATAGAGCAGCTGCCAGCCTGCCGCGTCAGAAGACGAATGACCAGCCTGCTCAGGGCAGTCAGGAGTCGGAGCTGCCACCGGTGTGCCCTGGGGGCGGAGCTGCTGAGGCTGAGACGTCCTCTGAAACTCAGCCCTCAGGTGTGTCCGGCGCCCCGCCTGCTCTGCCACAGTGTGAAGCTGTGGCTAGTGATCTGCTTGATGATGACATTTTAGCGTTGACCTTGGAAGAAATGCAGGCGAATGCTGCAACGTTCCTGTTCGAAAGTGAACCTCTGGGAGAAAAGACAGGAGTTGCTGGACCACGTGCTTTGCCATCACAAGAATCATTCGTGGATTCTTTAGTAGCAGCTCCATGTACGGCGAAGATGACCAGTGACCAAATTGTGGCTGTCAGTGTTCCACCTCGAGCAATGACTGCAAACGTGCCATCTTTGCAGCTGAATGCAGGAGACACTATAGTCACAAAGCCTGTGAGTGTCGATGCTACTGCCAGCCTTGCGCAGGGAGCAAAGGCAGCAGAAACTACGATGGATTCTCAGCTAAGCCCATTCCTCACACCAGAAACTGAGGCGCTAAAGCCAGAACAACACAGTGCATCTCAGGGCTTGACCATGAAGAAAAAAGAGCCTGTTACAGAGTCTCCAGCCATGGCGAAGAGGTCCGCCCAGAAACAACCTGTGAAAGAAAGTCAGAAGAAGCCGTTTGTGGGAAGTTGGGTGAAAGGCCTGTTAAGCAAGGGTGCTTCTTTCATGCCGCCTTGTGTCTCAGCTCACACACGGAACACGAGAACTGATTTGCAGCCAGCAGTGAAAGGGGCTAGTAATTTTGGTGGCTTTAAAACTAAGGGGGTAAACCGGAAGGCCAGCCAGGTTTCCAGGAAAGCACGCCAGCGTGCAAGCCAGCCTCCTCCAAGTAGTCATTCCCCGCCAAGTAAGCCCTCCTCAGAATGCACAGCTTCTCACAGGTATGCTGACGTTCCCAAGGCGATTGACGAAAGTGTCGCCCCCGGAGCTCAGCTCAACCCCAGCTCTTCTGGATACCAAAACGGCGGTGCTGTAGCGAACCTGGGAGACTCAGTAGACAGCCAGATACACCAGCTGCGACTAAAACTTCTTAAAAAACTCAAGGCAAAAAAGAAGAAACTAGCTGCTCTCACGTCGTCCCCGCAGAATGGAACGCTTCCTAGTGGGAACTTGGAAGATGGGTCCCACTGTGGATCTCCCAATGACTGCGAATCCATCGAGCAGTTGTTAAGCGAGCTGCAGTATCAGATTGACGTTGCGGACAGCCAGTCCGGATGCACACCACTTCCCAGCACTTCCCCATACGGTGGTCAAACCCAGGAGGAGATTTTAGCAGAACTGCTCTCTCCTGCAACTGTTGTCCCAACAGAGCTTCCAGAGTGTGGGGAACCTGACTTTAGGTATTTGGAAATGGGAGATACCCACATTCCAGCACCTGTACCCAATGAACTAAGCACAGTTCCCCAAAGTGCACCCCTGGGGCAGGACCACAATTACTGCAGTCCCACCAAGAACAACCCAGATGATTTTCAGGCAGACTCACTAACAAACGGCTCCTGCGATCGAACGTTAAACTTGGAGAGTTCCTTGAAGACTGATATTTTTGATGAATTTTTTTCTACTTCAGCATTAACTTTATCAAATGATCCATTAGACTTGCCTCACTTTGATGAGTATCTGTTTGAGAGTTGTTGATCACCTGTCCGCACTTTAGTTTGATATTTATTACTGCTCTTGAAGAGCTGACGTTGGGCTATTTGGTAGTGTGTCCACACTGGCCTTGTCTGAACCATTGTGAATCTAATGGAAGCTGCTGGAGACTCCTTTGGGTCGACCTAAAAACATGTGCTGTGTTTGACACATTAAAAATCTCACCAATTCTTCCGTGTTTTGGTTTCATTTTGTACCTGTAGAGAATGTGGATTTCAGAACATTAATGAAAATGAAAGCTGGTGCTTTGATTTGGCTGTTAGGCTGTGGTCTTTGGTAAGTCTGTCCGAACGCAGACTGAGTGTTAAGGGATACCAGCTTCCCCTATGTAAGTCTGTTCCTTTTCCTCTCCTTACAAAGATGGCAGGAGACCCTATTATTAGAATCTTGAATAGTGTTAATGATTGTTCAATGAATGCGCTATAATTGAGTTTTGCATTGATATACAGAAAGTTCGCATATTGTCATAAATGTTTCTCCAAAGACTTGAAACACCACCCAAAGTTGTGTTGGGGGAAAGAATAACATACCCAGTGTTACGTTGTTGTTAAGTGTCATCAACCCTGTACAGGGTTTCCAAGGAGCAGCTGGTGGGTTTGAACCGCCAACCTTGCAGTCCAGTGCTGATCCTACAGCTCTAGTAGCATAGTGGTTACGAATCGGGCTGCTAATCTCGAAACTCCCAGCCGTTCTGTGGGAGGAAGATGAGGCTTTCTGCTCCCGTAAAGATTTACAGCCTCAGAAACCTTGTACAGGGTCGCTATGAGTCAGAACAAACTCCACGGCACATGACAACTAGAGTTTCCGGTTTACACTCGTACAGGTGTGTTCCAAACAAAGGTGTGTATACAAGTCTCTGCCATCAGACGATGGCTGCAGACAAGGTCTCAGGAATATCTGTCTTCGTCTTGTTACGGCACCTTCAAAAGAGAAAAGAGCCCCAATCAAAAGTGACTTCTGAGCGGATCTGCTGGGCTAGTTCAGTTCAGGGCAGAGGTCAGCTCAGAAGGTTATGGCAACTGTTTGAGAGGCAGCGTCATCTTGACAGATTTTCTTGAGAGACTCAGGACAACCACAAGGACTTATTACGAAGCAATTTCAAGAAAATGAAAATCTATTGGTGAGAAAAAGACCAGAGAAGCTTTACCAAGAAGTCCCTCCACCCCTCGGGACAGTGTTTGATAGTTCTGGGAGGGTAGCCAGTGCTGTACTTGGGAGATTCCACTGGGAAACCTGACCCCATTCCTCCTACAGCCCAATCTTGCCCCGTCAGACTGGTTTCTCAAACTCAAAGATTTCAAAGGAACTCAAATGGAGTCCCTCAAGAATGCCCAAGCTGCTGTTTTTTT